TGGTTTGGTGACAAAAATATCATACCATTTGCAGACTACATGGCCATTCATGGCCTGATAGAATATTCCCCACAGTTGCACAAGGACTCTTTTCTTTCATGTATTAATGTATCATATAATATTGAAAAAAACAGATGGGCTCCTGTTTCACTTGTACTTTCTCTTTTCACTCCCCTGTGTACTGCCATATTGAAAGAAGACTATTGTGATTTAAATAGAAAAAGATTAAGCAGTTGTGGGTTTTTTTTTCTTTCCTAGGCACAAAAGCCATTGGTTTGCTCTGTGTAGGAAAAAAAATATGTTTGCTGTAAGACTAAGTAAGCTTCATACAACCTCAGCTGTGGGCAAGGGATAGCTTAGTGGTTTGAGCATTGGCCTGCTAAACCTGGAGCTGTGAGTTCAATCCTTAAGGGGGTCATTTAGGAATCTGGGGCAAATCTATCAGGGATGGTACTTGGTCCTTACATTAGGGTAGGCAGCTGGACTAGATGATCTCTTAACATCCCTTCCAGTTCTATAAGAGAGGTATTTTTTATTATTATAGGTGTAAAGTAAAATAATTAGAAATAGAGTAGAGGTGATGTAAAAAGTATGATGAGCCAATGAGAGAAAGCACTTTTATTTCTTTTTAAGAAGGATGTGTAATGTCTCTGTGATTTCTTTAGGATTTTTTACTATTACCATAAACAAAGTAATGGAAAATGAACCTTTACAGAATTTAAAATTTAAAAGAAATAACCTGAATAAATATTGAGGCCTTCCTTCTAGGTGACCATGTCTCTGTCTCCCTTATGTGTCTTTCTTCTTCCTTACTGGAAAATGTGCACAGTTTACATACATACAGAGCTCTAGATTATCTAGTTATCTTTTTTAAAGTAAAATAAAACCAGATAGTTAGCTTTAACTCCCTTTTCCCATTTCATTGCTCTTGTTAAGGGATTTTCTGCACACATGTTATGGAAGGAGACTTTCCTAATGAACTTTCAAAAATCTAAATAAAACTCCCTGAGACATGAATCTGGGATTTAAAATTACATCTGAAGACCCACCAAAAAGTGATGTGCTTTGCTAATAACAAATTGATTTTCAAGATAGTCCCTCTTTCACCTCATTGACTTCACATTTTAGAGAGGTAATAACAGACTTCTTAACTTTGATATTTTTCAAATATTAGTATTTGAAAAATAAAGCTAATAATCACTTCATTATAATCTATCAGCATAAAGAGTAACTTTTATTCTAAATATATAATTTGTCACTGTTCACTTCAGTTTTTAAGACAAAAATTGATATTAATGCATTAGCCTTCATAGCATGTGAAAACATAGTCCAGAGTACCAGTTATTCTTAAGATGTGTGTAAGAGTCTAAGTATTTTTGAGAGTCTAGTGACACTAATACTTATTGGATGTAATTTTTCTCTGTCATTGTTTTATGCTCAGTTCAACAAAAACATTTAATTGAAATTCTGAATGTAAAGCACATGACAGGCTTATTTACTTAAATGGGACTTAAAAGTTAAATAAGTGGAAATATTAGCAGTATCTGGCCCAAAATACTTAAGTATACACAAAATATAGCTAAAAACATTATCTCACTGGCTGTGAATGCAAATAGCTGCATAAAACAGCTTGTGTTAAATTTCACTTGTTGCACTTTGTTTAAAAACTTTAAGACAGACTTCTAGAATAATAAAGTAAGTTAAAGTTATGCAGTGACATTCCAGCTCCATTAACTTTAATGGCACCAGGAATACATTCATTGTCTCAAAACAAACTTGTTATAACAGGGGCTACTCTACCACCACAGTTTCACAACATGTATTAGTTTTGGAGGTTTCTGCACTGCCCCAAAGCAAATTTTTATGTCTGTGCACTCTAAAATACCACGAGGAGTAATGGTAGTTCGAACTAGGAAGCCTAGTTCAAACTACCTAGTTCGTGCCGCGTGTAGCCGCGCGGCACAGGGTTCGAACGAGTGGGGATTTAAAAATGGCGGCTCCCCGCTTATGCAAATGAAGCCCAGGAAATTCAAATCCCGGGCTTCATTTGCAAGTGCGGTATGCCTACATTACCCTCCTAGTTTGAACTAGCGGGGTAGTGTAGACATACCCTAAGAGTGGTTACAGTGCCATGCTGCCATATACAATGGCCAAATCAGACTGTCTCTACACCAAAGAATAAATAGACACAAATCAGACATCAAGAAGGACAACGTACAGAAACCAGTAGGAGAGTACATCCATCTCCTTAGACATTCAATGAGACTTGAAAGTTTCCATATTTTGGCAAAAACAGACGTCAACATGAAACTGCAGAGCTGGAATTCATATGCCACGTGAACACTATCATAGTGGATCTGAATAGAGACTGGGAGTGGCTAGCACACTACAAAAAGTAATGTCCCCCCTTTTGCACCTTCTCATCAACAATTGGGAGTGGGCCACATTTACCCTGATTGAATTGACCACATTAGCACTGATTCTCCACATATTACTGTAACTCACCCATCTTAGCATGTGTCAGGGTTGTTCCCCACTCTGGCACTTCAAGTGCAGAAGGTGAGGGCTCATTAGAGAGCTTCAAAACCTTGCCTCTACAGGCACTAGTTATAAAAACTTTCCCCCACAATCATTAGCCACAGATTTTTGGGGAATCACTGCCACCATCAAGTGCTTTTTATCCCAAAAAAACAGGGGTGAACACTTGAAATCGACCCCAGGGGTATCCCAAGCTCTTTGGCTCCACGAGAGCATGAAAAAAGAAAAGAGAAAAACAAGCTGCTGTCTCTGGCAGCTGACCCCTTAGTCAGAGGCAGGCAGATACACACAGACAGATCTTCCAGGACACAAGAATCACCTTAAAAAGTGATTTTTCATTAAAAAACAAAAGATAAACTTGATAAAGCATACTTGGCTGCTAGATATTACAGAGTAACTAAGAAGAACAAATTAAAACACAGAAAAATCTCTGAGACCAATATTTATATGGTAAAAGAGGAAGGGAGGCACAGAACCCACAGAGCAGTTCAAACCAAACTACAAAATAAAGAAAAATACCCTGAACACAACTAGATTCACTTTTCCCTTTGCTTACTTCTAATTTTCTCTTTGTTCAGTCCACTCCCATGCTCCCATATGCCTTGGAAAAATGCTAAACTTGCCTGGATTTAAATCTTTCTGTGTCTCTCAACTCCTGGTCTTTCTCTCCGACAAGAAAAAAGCAGGCAAGGAACATATATTTAGTTCAAATTTCAGCCCTCTATCTGATTGGTTCTCCCGGCCTCTTGGTCAACACCTTGCTAGCTACCTGAACTTAACCTCTTAGTCACCAGGTGCTGGCCAGCACTCCTCCCGTCCATTACACGCTTCCCCCCCCCCAAAATCATAGACGTTGCTGGCCCACACTGACTGTGATTTCTTCCTGGAGATCTAGGATAAAACATAGTTAATAAAGTACATGAGCACTCTACATTTACTACCAAATACAAGAGAATCCGTGGAGTACAATGACTGATATACAGGGAGAGGCCTAAGCAGCTGAGTCTGGAAATGCCTCTCTGGAAAGTGCATCAGCCACTTTGTTAAAAGTTTCTTGTTAGTCTCCTTGACGGTGGGAAGCCATCTTAGTGGTCAGTCTGCAGAAGAAAGCCTCATCCCCACACATATGGTTGTAGCTTCTCTAGAGTGTACACAATAGTACAGAACACCTTCTCTGTAATGGACCAGTGGCTTTCTCTCTTTAAAAGTTTTTGCTGAGACAGACAACAGGGTGAAGTTGTTGATCTGGCTTGTCTGCATCAAAACTGCATCCACAGCATCTGTGGTGATAATGAAAGGTTTGTCATAATCTGGGGCCCTTAGTACAGTCAGACATCAGGACAGCCTTAAGATGGTTAAAAGCTTCTTGGCACTTGTCAGTCCACTTGACTGAGTTGGGTTGTTTTTTTCTGGTCAGATCAGTTAGTTAGTGGAGCAGCGACTTGACTGTAGTGTGGTAAAAATTGACCGTAATTCACGACCAAGCCTAAAATAGATTGGACCTGTTACTTTGACTTAAGGATAAGCCAGCTTTCGATAGCCTCTACTTTAGCTTGACCCACACAGTGTCCAAGGTAAGTCTCCCTCTTTAGCCCAGTTTCACATTTTTTCGGCTTTAACTTGAGCCTTGCCTCCCTTATG